ATAGTGCAAGCGGCATAATGTAGATCACTAATCAGGATTTTTTATATAAAATTTTATGATCTGCACACTCTAATTAACGCTTATGAAAAATTCGCTTGACTGTGCTTTCAATTTCTCCTGCGATATTTAATATTTTCTAACTTTGACAACTTTATATGTTTTACTGAATGTATCTTTATATTATGACAACATTAAATTTTACCTATCTTCTGTCTTTCTATATGGTCAGTTCACAACAAGAAGTTAAGAAAAGTTTATATATCGATCAATAAATATTATACTAATTGCTAGTAGGCTGTTCAATACAAAAGTGTCTTTGAATCAAATGCGATAGTAATGCATTTATTTGCAACTATTGATTAACTAGAACCAGGGTTGGCACATTTATCCATTGGTGTGAATGGAGAACATCTCCATTGATATTGCTCCATCGCTCTATTGAGAATAATTTCTGAATGGAGCCAATGGAAGTCAACAACTCCATCAACATTGCTCAAATTATCAATATATAGAGTTAGAACTATTCTCTATCGGCTTTTTTCTATTGGTTTCATTTGGTAATTTTCTCAATAGAGTATCCATTTCCAACTCTGACTAGAACGTAACAAGTTAGTATTTAAGAATATGAGTTTTCTTTAAAGTAATTTTTGTTCTTCTGCTAACTCGCCTTTGTTTTTTTTTATTTTGATCTTACCCAGGACTATTAAATATAAGCTGTAAATTTTATGCTTGTACATATATAGCCTAGAGTTTGTTCATGAACTTGATGTAGTAATCGGAAATTGTTTTGAAATTGTTTTCGATTAGGTCTATGTCGTTCCCCTGACAGTCGGTGATTGTTCTAGTAAGAATTTATTTACTATTAGGTATCGTTTCTTTGACAATTATCTACCTTGATTGATTTTTCTGACAAGAATTTAATTTACTATTAGATATATCATTTCTTTGACAATTATTTATCTTGACATAGTAGTCAGTGATTGTTCTGTCAAGAATTTAAACCTATATCGTTTCTCTGACAATTATCTAGCACCCAACATCATTGAGAAAACAATTGTCAAGTAAATGTATTATTACATGCTCATTAGCAATATCATAATTATTAGATTGAACAGTAAAACTAATAGAATGTAAATAGAAAAGACAAAAGAACGTTTTTTGTAATTTTTTTTTTTATTTAAATATAACATGTTTTGTAATCGAATAAATAAAAAATCAATTATATAAATTCAATAATTATTAAATATATACGAAACTTTTAAAAAAATAGGTCGATTAAATCCAAGAAGTAGACAACTTAAACAGATTCGAAGCTTGTGCAAATGTGAGCAACTAAAAGTATTACATGAAATTAAAAATAATCCAAGCACTATGCTTAATCACACAATTTCAGTTTTTGTGCAACTAAATGATAATGATTTTAATAATGCAATAAAACAAATCTGCGAATCTTGGGAAATAAATACTCAAATTCAAAGAAAACGCAATGATATGATTATTCAAATCTGTAACCTACCAGATCAACAAGTATTCAATGCATCTACTCTCTTTCAAACAATGACTTATCCTCGGGGAATTCATAAAGGAGAAATAATTTCTACACATCTACAAAAAAAGGCACTCAAGTTCATTGATTCTAGCATTTATAAACAACACTATACTATTAATGCATTAGAATTGAGGTTCAAAGTTTTAAAAAAAAAAATTCATCATTTAAAAAAGAAAAAATCATCCTTGAATACTAAAGTTCACTCTCTTTCAATGCAATTAGTAAAAGCAAAACAATTAAAAAAGAAACATATTTTAAAAATTCGAGCTGCAATTCAAAAAGCAAAGCAAATTAAACCTACTCAATTTCGAAATGCTGTTAGTAAATTATTTAAAATTAATAATAAAGAATATAGCACAGAATTTGTAAAACTAGCTACTGATATTAGTACAATAGGACATACTTCTATTCATGCAATAGTAGAATGTACTAAAGCTGTTTTTCAATTTTTAACTGGAGAATCTCCACAACAATGGGTTGCACCATCTACTTTGGCACGATGAAATAAAGAGGTAGCGGCTTTATCTTTTAGTCAAAATTGTCCTAAAGAAGATTCATCTCAGTTTTTTGGATACGGTATTATGGTTGATGAAAGTAGACGGGGTGAAAAAAAAGTGTTAATTATATGTTTTTCTCATTGGAATAATATTAAAGAAGAACCTGTAATTACAGTAGCAAAATTAATAGACCTAACTCATTGTAATGCAAAAACAGTTTCAGCTGCT